AGTAGTACTAATTTGTACTAAAAGTTGACCTGAAGCAAGACGGTATTGAATGCTTCATTTGAATCAACTCAATTTAATTTGCGTATCGCATGCACGATTTACTAAATACAACTAAAAAGCACTATTTAGTTTGTACAGTTGCACAGATTAAGTGCGCATTCACTCTACTCTAGCGCGTTTATTCTTTTGAATTCTCAACAAAATCTCGCCAATAGGCAAAGTGACTATACTAGTACTTACCATTGGTGCAGGGAGACGATAGCCGGACTCTACTCTGTCCATAACCTGGGACATAATAAATCAGTTTATTGTCAGTTTATAAAATGAAAGTTTACAAAAATTTTGATTTTTCTCCTTCTTTTTTCTCTTTTTATTATATCATCTAGCTTGGTTTAATGTCAGTGTATCTGTCTGTTCGTCATCTTACCTGGAAGTTATCCCACTCCCAATAAGGTCTTTCAGCAAAAGCCATAATTTCCCATAAAAGAATTCCAAAGCTCCACACATCACTAGCAGAACTGAACTTCCGGTATCGAATAGCTTCCGGTGCTGTCCAGCGTACTGGAATCTTACCACCCTTTAATTAACATARAATATATAACTAAACATTTAGCAATCCTTTGCCAAAAGCGTAGTGATTATCCATGAATATACCCTGCACAATTTTAGACTTGAAAATTATTAGGAAAAAATCGACTATAAGGAAGAAATAATTCATCGCGCGACGMGATAAAATCGGCTCTCGAGCGGAAGYCATTTCGTAGTTGGCATTCCCTCAGCCAATAGGAGAGCGGCTCACAAGATGAGTTTGGTCGTTTCATTCTGTGGATGACTTTGGCCTCTTCGACGCTTGAAAAAATGTGTTTGGCTACATAATTTATCTTATTTTATATGGAATTACATGTTCAAGGACCCATGGCTCGCTTTGTTCCTTCTCAGTTTGGACAAATATGTACAAAATGGTCCATAAACAACCTACAAATGCCTTGGTAAGTTTGCTCGACTCAAAATGCGAAASYGAGTTGTTCGCAAAATTGTAAACCTTTCTACACGAATTAAGGCTTGATAATCTTCATRAAGGGCTTTTATCATTAGAATTAAGAATAYTAAAGTTAAWATGAYGRGTTTTTCAGTAATTGGGAAGGATYTTCAAGTGTAMTTTTACGTTTCGCCGTAAATGACGGTGGGACMAACAGGATKAATGAGCTAAGAGAATACAACTATAACTTTCGCTTTTTAAACGACTTCAATATTGCTTTTTCTCGATTTTGTTATAKAATATAGATTTAATAATTGCTTTTAGTCAGTTTGAACTGCTAAAGGAGTCAGTAGCAGTTCTTAAGATAAAGTTTTTCAATTTTGTTTATATTGTAAACAAGTCGGTGCTCGAACAACTCTRCAAATGAACCAGAACGCAGAGTTTTGAAATTACACTTTTGAATAAACAAATATTCGGGTAAACGCTTCTTGACTTTTATCAATAAGGATAAATAACATTTTCTAATATAACTTTCACAACTGTTCTTTTAGCGACCGAAAAAAGAGCACACTTTGAGTCAAGAATACAAAACTCAGTAAATTTTGACTGACATTCACCACTCGGCAACCAATCACAGCGCGCAAATTCTGTATTCAAGTCTAAAATTATACTAAATATGCTAAGCTTAAAAATAATGTGTATTAGCAGTGATGTTGGATTTTTTTCTTTGAATATATGCTGTGCGACTAGACAGGGCAAATTTTACTCAGGAGGGTAGGGTGGGGAGATGTAATAAAACGTACTAGTACCTGTGTCTGGTATTCTGAGTCGGGATTATCTTCACTGTCATCCAACTCACGTGACAAMCCAAAATCAGCGACTTTACTTGCCATGTTGTCAGCCACAAGAATATTACGGGCTGCCAGATCCTGCAACAATGAACAAAAATCTTATGAATATGCAAAGCAAAATTATATTGAACGAAGCTATTTCAGAAAATAATGAGTTCTTAGAATAGTGCATTCCAATACCGAGTGCATCGCTGTGTTTCTGCGTACTACGTCACACCTACCCTGTGAATGAAGCCCATTGCGGATAAATAGTCCATACCAGCTGCCACGCCTCGAGCTATCCCAAGAAGCTGAAGAGTTGTTAAGTGACCATCGTGCGTCTGTAACGTAAACGTATTAACTTAAGTAAGAGATGCTACGTAAAACAGCTTTATAAATAAGCGAGACTAAATATAACTCAAATACAACGGGCGCTCTTAAAAGTCGCTTTGCGCACAAACCCGAGATATCTTTGTAAGGTTCGAAAAATCAAATAAATTTATATTTTGTATATCGATAGGTATGATTAGGTAACAATCGCTGTGTAAATTGGGGTTTGAAAATATTTAGCTTTTCGCAAGAAGATCGCTGAACAATGTCGCATACTGGACCATTGCTTGGCAAACGCTTTGTTGCTAAAATTTCAATTTTCTTTGTTTTGTTTTTGTTTTTTTGCGCGAAGCGATTCTTAATCCGTGTAGAAAACGATGGTAACTTGTGCAAACCCATCAATACTATTTAGTGGTCATTAGTACTATTAATATTCTCTGTTTCATGAATTTCACCAAGTTTTTATATAAACACCATGTAACATTGACTGCTCATGTACATTTTTTTATATACAGTAATTCTCTCCGCCTCAGGTGACCATAATCCTTGGCGTTGAAACCTCAATATAATTATTCTGAGTGACGTAATTATGCCATAGATCAATTTAATCCRCCAGTCGTTACCTTYAAGAAATGATCCARTGACCCATTCTCCATAAATTCTGTTATAATCATCATGGGTGTCTCCGTGCTTCGCGTGACCACACCCTTCAGACCTAAAACGTTCGGATGTTCGAATTGACCCATRATTGAAGCTTCTAGAATAAAATCTTCGCGATTCTTTGGAGATGATTTTGGCTGCAAATAAAAATTAACAAAATRGGATTAACACAAAGAAAAAGAGTAAAAAATAATGATAAAAAAGAAAACGAAAAAAAAAGGGGATAAGGGAAATTTATCTTTAAGACAATAATAATCGGCATTTCTGCCCTTTTTTTCACTAAAGTTTCAAGTCCCAGGTGTAGAGCATTTTTTTTAATTTAAACTCACTTTAAGTATTTTTATGGCAACAGTTTCTGGCTTGGTGTCACATGATATCAAGGATCCTTTGTAAACTTCTGCAAATTCACCTATATCAAAGAAATAAAATAAACGTTAAGCCGAGCGCTAACGCTTTAATCAACAGTTCCGACATTCGTTCAACTTTATTGAACGCTATCGAACAGTGTTGAACGATGTTGAATGGTGGATGCACAAACCCTTTCGACATTGCTTCGACTTTGTTGAGCGCAAATGTAAGCGTGTTTGCGTGGTGCTTTCAACACGTTTCAACGGCAACTAGAGCAAATATTGCGTAGACGCTTGCACTACATTTTTGAAATAAACGTGCAAAAGGCTTCAACATCATTCAACATTATCAAGGAAGTAATAAASGGATGTTGAAACAAAGTTTAMACGCTTTTCGACTGATTCACYATTGATTCAACTCGTTTCRACAATTGTGAAAATCATCATCGTTCTCACCTCCACCAATCAGCTTCTCTAGTTTTATCCTCCGTCTGTCAATCTCTTCTGTCACACTCATCAATGCCTCCATAGGGTTGCCATAGTTACTAGGATCGATATACAGCTTGTGTCCGTCTAAGGGTAGGAAACCATCTGCTTGAATATATYTTGTTTCATTATATTGTTCATTTTATTAGTTTAATATTAAACCTTATTAAATTATTATTATCCATAAATTACGTTTTATTAGTGAAAACATCCTCTACAAATTACATTTATTGTTAGATATTTATTTTAATTGATTATTTTAACTATTAATATTATATTATTATCCAATACCAACATTTCTTACTTTGGAAAACTTGTTGTTATACTAGTGAGATTGTCCTCTGAATATTACTTTCATTATTAAATGTCATTTTTCAGTGTTAATTTTAAGTATTCTATTATTAGTATTTCTTTGAATATTGTTAACTTGTTTTTGATAACATTCAAAAGGCGAAAGGATGGGAGGGGAATATCTCGCCAAAGGAAGCCCAGCCACGAGTTAGTAAACAGAGATACAGGGGTTTATATACAATATGGTCAGCGGAGGAGGCTACCAACCACCGTTTCAGATCTCCTCAACTCACCTAGTTTTTCCATGCTAGAAGATCGTGCTTGGATGTATCTCCTAAAAGAATAAAATTATAATTATGATTTCTATTACTATTATTATAATAATAATCTTTATTAAATTATAAATCCTCCACTAGTAAAATATTTTACAATCTTCTAAAAAATATCGAGTAATAGTAACTTACAATAAAATTTATAATAATTTTGTTTAAAAGTTCAAATACTWCATAATACACTAACTACATCACAAAGATAAAAATTGAGAATAATAAATACAAGAGAATAAAAAGAAAAAAAGAAAAAAAAATGTTATTACTATTATTATTTTCATTATCATTATTATTTGTAGCATCTGTCAATCGTTCGCTATGCTCACTCGTGAGAAATCTTTTCAATACTCGAAGAAAAATCCGTATCAATTTTCCATGATAGCTAGCCCGACTTCGCGCTCTAAGAGCGTCTAATTTCGAAACGACCACTCACACCAACGKTAGACCACAGAGACACATTTCATAAAGACAAAAATTCCTTATCAATAAAATAATCTAAATTTCTCATATTACTAAGATATAWCACTGGTAATTGGAACAGCCCACCAAAACAAATTTATAACGATGGGAAACACCATTACATATTTATTGGACAATTAGTGGAGTGAAATATCACGTCTGTCTGAARRTACCGATAAGCAACAGGGGTCATTGACGGCCACAATGAATGGCACCWTCTKGAGTTWACCGTGATAAAATGTTATGAAAAAATGTGTGAATTATGATGAGAATTGATAAAATTCTGCGCAGAAAGTTGTAATTATGGAGGCAAATTTTTAGATACCGTTGTCCCTTCTTTTTTGGATTTTTTTTCTGTTCGAGAATTAAGCCGCTAGGTACCTTGTTTTGTAGAAAATTTCAATTATGGAGGCAAATTTTTAGATACCGTTGTCCCTTCTTTTTTGGATTTTTTTTTTCTGTTCGAGAATTAAGACGCTAGGTACCTTGTTTTTCTAATTTTTGTTTTCTTTTTCTTTTAGTTTCATGTTTTTCTTTCATATATATAAACATAGTTGTACTGGTAAAATTATTTTCAATTCAGCGGCTTTTTTCGAGTTATGATTTTTTTATTCATGAATGTATTTCGTTGAAGTTTTATTTTTTGTCGATTTGCAAGTTTATTTCTTGTTTGAAATTCACTCTTTTGGCATTTGCTCTTAATGGTGAAGAACGAGACAAACTAAAAACAGTAGTTGAGCAGGATGTCATCATTTTTATCATCAACAAAGACATCTTGCGAAACCTTTGCACAACAACCTGTGCCTTATCAAGGAAAAAAACATGTTACACATAACGCCTACATGCATTTCAGTCTCAGCCGTGACCTCCTTCTAGAAGGCGGAAAAATTACCACAATGAAAATGAAAAGTCGATTTGCAATGCYATCATGATTGGATATCCACATAAGGACTGATCTTCTATTGTCTGTTTCTCATTGGGAGCCCAGTGATAACATTCTAGCAATGTCTAAAAGAAATATTAGATAAAAAACGGACATACTCGACCCAAAGATAAAACTATAGTCCGCCCTTCGGTAAAATCAAAATAATCAAACCACACAYAACTATGTTGCCAGTTTTTCCTGATATTAAACGTGCTTTTTTTCATAAACAGCAATCAAAAACTAGAGCTTGSAAGTAATATGCCGCTTAATCACCGATCGATTCCTGCTGTTTTCATAAATGAAAATGAAAGTTAAATTGGTTTGCGGTGYTCTTTGTGGTTTCAGTGCCAACCTGCCTTATGCAGTGATTTACAATATGTCGGTAAATCTACATTCTTCAAAGGTTTCCAATTCATATTTTACAATAATGAAATATTAAGATACTTTCAGTTATAATGTTGAGGCACGCTAAGCGGATACCCTTTGGGGGAAAAATGACCGTAGATACGCTTATGTGAAAGAGTAAATTCAGCATTTGTATGGCTGTATTTAAAAAAAATATGATCAGAGTATAGTCTAAATTTAATTTCATAAACGTAAACCATATTTATGCACCAAATTTCAAAGACTTTGATTAATTTGCAATCAAGAGCGTTAATCACATGACCTTACCCATTRTRCACACAATACAATGATGAAATGCAAGTTTATCTGCGCGGTCAAACTTTTGCAAATTACTGTATTCAGAAAATTAGTATTTTTCCTTCATATATATTTATTCATCACTTATTGTCTCTTTATACTAAATTACTATTTTGTCTTATTTCTGGTTTTTAATCATTCCCATGAGATTTAATAGATAAAAAATCAATAGCCATGTTGGATGRATGAACAATGGATACTAATGAGAAATCCTCTGCTGAAGTTCAACCAAAATGGCCGCTGTGAGGTATAATGAAAACGAAGAATATCAATTCCACCTTTTTTGCTTCCCTATAGTAGGCTATCAAGTAAAAAAAAACCTTTTTTATTAAAATATTTGTTTTAAAAACAAAAAATAAAAATTTTACTAAATTATTTCAGACATTTTTCTGAAATTGTTTTAAGTTTGACTTCAAAAGACTTTTTCATAATCGTAGGAATATATTTAAGGTGAAGTACCCTTGCTATAAGTCTAAAACGTACACAATAAACGGTAAATTCAGTGAAAGTGACTAGTTTTTTTTTGAACGAAACTAGTTTTCAGTGAATTTACCGTTTATTGTGTATGTTTCAGACTTATAGTAAGGGTACTTCACCTTAAATATATTCCTACGATTTCAGACATTAATCAGCTTCTAACACATCAATCTCATCCGAGCGATTTCCGTCGATCGGTGAAAGGTTTCCGTATTTGAGATAAACAGTTCCTTAATACGACAACCCTAATATGACAATATAAAATACATGGCTTCCTTAATGCCAATCAAGTGAGGACATCATTGATTACATTTTAATATTTCCTTCTCTGTCAACGAAAACATTCCTCATGTTTTGATCACGCGGATTAACCTTTTGGGGTTAAAAACTTCGCACTGAAACATTGAGTCGAATTCGGACGCACTGCGGAATTACAAGTTCCTGAGTTGAAATTGTGACAGACATAAGGATTCAATATTCCAAGACTGAATGCAAAAATTTGGGACTCGTACAGCCACACCCATCGAATTCAAGATCARAGTCATCATTTCGAAGAAAAAACTTGACTTGTTGCGGAACTTCTACCTTGAAAGCTTTCCTATAYGTTGGAAAGTTTTCTCWACAGATTGAGTATTTTACTTTATAGTATATACGCAAAAAMACTTTCCCTGCATKAGAGAAAGGGTCAATGGACATTTTACGGAGAATTGGAMGTTAAAATTACAACACTCTMGAAATTAAATTRAACAGCYATTCGTTTCGCACTTTTTTTCAATTTGAAGACTTTCARAACSCTCATCCCACCGCGTGTTAGCCACGCCCCTATGAAACCTACCTTCGCTTCCTATGCAGACATATGATGACGACGATTAGAATTAGAATTAAGAAGACACCTGCCGCACCAACAATGCCTGCGAGAATTTCCCAAGAAAACGCTGCAAAGAAAACAATATATCGATCAATCTACTGGCAAAAACATTGCCATATAGAGAAATATAGCACATGGCTACAATAGATTCCCTTTAAAAAGTAAAAATGTCGCGTTTATTTATTTATATTTTATATCACAGGAATTATGTGCAGGGAAATCTTGTAGCTATAAAACTGCGAGTCATTATAGTTTTTAACGTACAATTATATTTCATGCAATTTTCCTTGACAAAGTTGAGCACTTTTTTGAAAACATTTTCGATAATTTTAAGTTATATAATAATATCTGTATAAAATAAAATAAGTGACGATAAGTTTGAGAAAATTTAAAACATTGCGTGCTTTCCTTTTAACTAAAGAACAAATGTTTTATCAATATTCTTTCAAATAATATAAAGCAATCGCAGGGGAACAAATATTTAATAATAATCATGATAAAAAAACAAGCGACGTTCAATAAGTTTGAGAAAATATAACACGATGGGGTGCACTTCTTTTAACGAAAGTCCAAATGTTATATTTATAAATTTATAACAGAAATTAAGTGCCGGAAAATTAATATATAATAATATAAAACAAGTGAGAAAAATGTCGAATATGGTGAATATGATAAATTACATGACGCTAAGATGACAAACATTCCGTCATARCACAAAACAGACTGAAACCCAGCACAGYATGCACAAAGTTAAAGCTCTTAAAGGCAAAAGGTCCCGCCCTATTTCAAGCATTGATGTTATTMTCCAAAGACTAGGCATCGCGCTGTGCGATGGTAAAGAGTTGCATTACATGCAGCTTTTTCAATTTAATGCAGTGCACCATGGTCGCGTGGAAGAATCATCAAGAAGACCTGATAGTGTGACAAAAATMCCCAAGCTCGCCAAGTGTATTTGTAARRCGAATCAACTTCGTCAAAGACACACGAAGTACTTACGTATAGCTTCATTCTTTCCTGGAGGAAGTATCTGGGTGGTTCCMCGAGGTTTACCAAGACCAAACTTCGTGCCTGCCTGAACCTAAATGATACAAAAACACAMGCGTCATCAGCATTTAAAGCTGTGTTATTCCCATTGATAGCGYTTTAATTCCGTATCCAGACAATCCGACTGGAAAATCAAATGTCATGTTTACTTTTCTCAGACCTTTTGACGCCCAGGAATCAATTGAAAGTAGGTCGCGCAATTTTGATGYTAAAATATACAAGTTTGATTGTTCGGCAAGCTTTTACATTGTTCAATGCATGAATAAAGTAGCRTTTTATCAAACCACGTATACTTATTCTAATTGCTTTTTTATTAAATTCATTAAAACGGCTAATTAAGGCCGAATACTGGAGTATGCTTATTACTTGAGTGATATCGACGTTGCTTAATTACGCGTATCAATGTTTGGAATACGACCTGTCGTAAACAGTTAAACATATAGTTCACTGAAAGGGAGACTTTGGTTATACGTAAAAATATATARAATAATAGAAGGTGGCCTCAAGTTTATAAATATTTTGGGTATTATGTTGCCAAAATCTAAGGTCTGATTATTTTCAGAAACAAGAAAAACAAAAACAAAAAGACTAAACCATAACAAAATAAAAAAAACCCTTAAAAACAGATTTTTCATGCCTTTTTTATGAAATTCATTTCCACTGACGAACCTTGGACTTAACATACTTAACATCGTGTATTTGTGTTGTTTTTTGTTGTATTTTTTTTTCTAGTAGAAAATGTCACTCTTGATGAATAACGAGTCCTTTTTGATGTCTTTGTCTCTCTTTTCTCTTTAACTTTAATCTCTTTCTTATTAACACTCAMTTTCTATTATGTCTAGCGGCAAAGTGAAGATCCCGGCCTTGTAATAAAAAGGGGCGTCTAATCGCACCAATATATATCAGCAAATGCACAGCKCATTTAAGTCGAATAAGGAAAGCTTTAGTGGACGATCCAGGGCATTACTAAGGTAGTGTCTAACGAACGTATTATGGACAGAATCAGGGCTGCGGTTGATATTTTAGACGATTTAGACGGTACAATTTTTCCCTAAATCATGGCATGAGTCCTGCGTAAGTCCTCCTTACAACATGGCTACAACTGTTGTGGGGCTATTAAGYAATTGTTTAAAATCCCTACAACAGTTGTAGGTCATGTAGCTATGTCGTAAGGATGACTTACGCAGGTCGCATGCGTTGGTTGTATAGGCAAAAGTTGTGGCGTCTAAATCGGCCTTTACAGATGAACACTTCTTTCGTTGTTTGAATAAGTCCCATTCAGATTTCAAGGAATTGGCCAATTTCCGCCATAATGGATGGCAAAATACCCACTGGGATGTTCAAAACAAAGAAAAGTCAAGCTTGACGKRCTGCGTTCCWTTTGTTYWTRAGGTTGTTTACATTCTTTTGCCATCCAGTATGGCGGATTTTGTGCCATGTGACCGTTTCATGCAAAAGGCCTATTCTACCTACCTGAAAGAAATATTCTTGTCCTCCTTTAAGACCATTGATAGTAGCATTCGTGTTGGTTGTATTGAAAATCATTTTAGAGGATTCCATCCCTACTGGGAAATAGCTGATTTGATAATATATGATAACACCATTTGGTTCTTTTAGATTCCATCGAAGATAGACTGTTGTTGGGTTGATGGGCTTGGACACTGTTATATCTGGCTTACCAGGTACTGTAATCACGTGACTTGTATTAGAATAGTGATTTACTATGTATACTGATTTATAGAATGACTAATCGAATAATCAATCGAACAATCAATCATGMTAAATTTAGTGATTGATTAAATTCTAATCAATAAAATGAAAAATAGATCAATTATTCGAAAATAATCTATCAATCGAGCAATTGATCAAACAGTCGAACACTTGATCAATCGGCGAGCAAGAGATCGACAACAGGTCGTGATTATGGATTTCAATCAATAATAATCAATCACGATAAATTTAGAAATTRGTTGGTTTTCAATCGATCAATCATTCGATCATAATTCAATGATCAATCAATCAATCAACCAACCAACCACTCGAAAAATTGATCCAACATAACAGTCGATCACTTGAACAATCGAGCAAGAAATCGACATATCAATCAATCATGATCCTTAATTAATCGACCATCGATCAATCAGTCGGTCAATACATCAATCTATCGATCATTCGGTTAATTGATTGATTAAGTCACGATCAATTAATCAATCAATCAATCAAGCAACCAATCAATCAAAAAGAAGTAAAGCGACTTACCTCCTTCCTCTGTTCTGATAAGAAGTTTAGCAAACTGAGCCTTGTATTGATTATTTTCGGCCACCTTAGAAACGCCGTTCTTAGCGTAAACCTTAAACTGATAATACGTATAAGGTGACAAATTCTTCACAGTTGCAAGCGTCGAGGTGTTCGTCARAACTCGAAGATACTTCTGCACATGCGCGTCATCRCAATCTTCTTTGCAATGTTTTCCATCAATACCACATTGCTTGCACTCGACCTCGTAGTTTATATCCGATCGACCGCCGAAGTGCTTGGGAGGAGACCATTCCATAGTGAGAAACGTTGCATTGTGGAACGTYGAGACGAGACCTTCWGGWGCTGTTGGAGGCTCTGTAAAKAAAGACAAAATTAACAAKTWWTKRRGKTWAAARKT